CATCTGCTGCTTCAGCAGCAGGCTAATTTATCCATGACTGCCCTGCTGCAGAAAGCCAAAATAAATAAAGCAAGTTTACTTCTTGCATGTGATTGGAGGACTGCATAGGGCACTAAAGACTTCATGAAAATAAGCATCCATCTCCCACACCATGCTTCTCCATTTTTTCTAAACTTCTCTCTACATTCTGTACATCCAAAGCAGTAAGGATGAATTCAGAGAGAGTGCATTTAATTTAAAAGAAAAAAACAACAAAGGCAAGGAAGGCATTTTCTCATTATCATCACCAAATCAGGAAGGGGTAGGCTTTTGTTCTGCTAGCAATTAACCTTTGAGCTCCCCTATGTCTATCAGGTTAATTCCAGAACCTGCCTTTGCTCACATTTCTGACGCTTATTTCTGAAGTAGAGGGTGAAGGATTTGCTAGTTAGTCCTTTTCTTTCTGGCAGAACAGAACTTTCAGTTGTCTGACATATCATCACTTAGGAGAAAACATAGCCTTCAGATTAGGACTCTACAGGATACAGTGGATGTGTCTACACAGGCAATTGATGCAGGAGCAATTTACTCACATGAGTAAACTACTCATGAATAAATGCTCCTGGGCAGGTATCTACACATGCAGGGAAGTGGGAGCAGATTTGCTGCTAATAGCAGCAAACTTCTTCTGTTTCCTGAGGCCCTGCAGTGGGCCCCTGCCACCACCACAGGGAGCTCTAGGCTCCCCCTGGGTGCTAGCCCAGGTGCTGGTTGGGAGCACTGGGCCAGGAGACAACTGTCTCCTGGCCAGGGATGGGACATCATACCCTGCCCCTGGGGACTGCTAAGGCAGGGTACAGTGTCCCCCTGCCCCAGCAGCAGGGAGCTCCTGGCCATGGCTGCCCAGCCAGGGGCAGGGGACTTGGAAAGAGCTGCAGGGGAGGGGAAGGTCTCAGCCGTCTGCCTTCATCCGCCAGTGGACACCTAGCAGTTAGCTGTCTGCCAGCTGCCCCCCAGGTGAATTGGGGCAGGTGTCACAGTCCAGCTGGGCACTGTGAGTGTATCAATTTTATCACAGGTCAACTGGGATGTTTAATTCAGTTTCAGATCAAGGAGGCAAAGTTAGGAGTGAAATAAAGGCAAATTTATTATAGCTTACACACACAACAGTTAACAGAAAGATAAATGTGATAAGCAGATAATGCAGTATTAAAGAGCTAATAGTAAATAATAATAACAGATAATAACAACAGATAGATCAATTCTGTCGCAGGCCAACTGGGCACTGCAAGGGTATTAGCCACTAGGCTGTTCAAAACAACAGACAGACAGACATGGGTTGGCAACTTATCGATAGTCCCTCCAGGCCAGGTACGCATCAAGTCATTCCAGCAAAGTCAGGTGTCCCCAATTGACGCTGTCAGAGGGGTTACCGGGGAAGATCCCTTGATCAGGATCCAATCCTCACTCACACTGGGAGTTCAGGGTCTGGGCGTGGAACAGCTGTGACCGTTCTGTTCTCTCCTTCCTGCTAGTCACCTGACGCATGCACTTTATATACCTAGTCTTATGCTAATCTATTGGCTTTAGAGCCACTCACAATGGTACCCTATAGCTGTTACCCTGTGGATTGAAATGTGTTAATAATTATCATAAAAGTTTCTACCCAAACTCGGGTTTATCCAATAAGCAAATTATGATGCAGCACCTTTAGGTTTGAAATTGACATTGCTCCGCCTAAGCCCCAACCCCGTTTAGGTTTCATTTGAATATGCTTTCTTGGGACGTGCTTTCCTGGAATGTGTTGGGTGTGCCAGGCAGTTGGATCCAGTTTTTTATCACTAAAGTTGAACCCTGAGCAGAAACCATTAGGTCAGCTAATCTCACAGCTACCGCTTTACCTATGGGGCCCAGTCAGTTTCACAAACAGTTAATTTATCATTTTGGTTAAATTTATGATAGACAAGTTACATTTGCGGTTTACAAACTTACAAGCTTTATATTAACTATATTACCTGTTTAAGCAAAATACCAAATGCCTCCAAAAAGCACATATTTGTTGCTTATTAATCCCTCTGGTTCTGGCCGTTACAGGCAGGGGGCTAGGGCCTACCCCATCCCTGCAGATCTTTCCAAACCCTGTGCCTCAATCATCTCATCTGGGCATGGGGCTGGGACCTGCCTCTAACTGGGATAGTTCCCAGCCTCTGCTTTGCAGTAGCAGGGTAGATGCTGGAGTGCCTGTACCCTGCTTAGCTCTGCAATCCCCGTCCTGTTCCCCACCCAGATCTGCAGTCATGGGACTGGGCAGGGAACAGGCTCCCCAGCCCCCACCAGCAGGGAGCTCCCAGCACCAACTCTGTGACCACGGAACCAGTGCTGGGAGATCTCCTAGATGCGTATTGCCCAGCACTGGCCCCAAGGTTGCAGAGCTGGTGCTGGGAAATAAGGATCTCCCAGCCCCACACTCCCCAATCACAATGGCAAAGCAGGGGCTGGGGGATAAAGATCTCTCAGCCCCCACTCCTCGATCACAGTCTTGGAGTGGTGGGCTTGGAGTTTCCTGCCATCAGGGCAGGGGAACATAGTCCACTACCCAGGCTCTGGTGGCAGAGCCTGCCCCAGCAGCAGGCAGCTTCTGGGAGCAGGAAGCAATCTTCCACTTTCTGGTAGCCAGCTGCCTGGGAGCAGATTTGCTCCTAGTCAGGCACCTGCATGAGCACTACGGCACAGTAAGTCACAAATAAATTTGATTCTTGCATTTGCAGGTAGTAAATTTACTCATGATTAGTGAGGTTTACTGTGCAGTAAGTGTGTGCATGTGTAGACACACACTTACTGCATAGTAAACTACACTACTGCACAGTAAAGCATCTCATGTAGATGCACCAATTGTTTATGCTCTTTACAACATTTATACTACATCAGCCTGCTCTCAGGACTGATGCCATGAAAATGCACCTCATCCATCCACTCCCACTCTGCCCATGCAGCATACTGAAAAATGTCATGTGGCTTCCATTAGAACAGTACTGGCTATGCCCAGTACCACTCAAATTAACACTCTTGAGCCTGAGAGCAGCCAAAAACTGGTCTTGCTAAAAAGTGGCTACATGACTTTTTTTTCCCTTGGCATTCAGTGTATTCAGAGGGAAGTGAATGGGCAGAGTGAGCTTTTTGGATGGCTCTAACTAGCATGGTTTAACATACTATAGACATGTCCTCCCAGTACTTTTCTGAGCTTGTTTCCAGGATGTTGCTGCCTCTTTTGCAGTCTTATCTGAATGTGTTTATATTATTTATTTTAGAGGGTTTACGGTCTACTTTACAAGAGCATATAAAGGTTAATTAGCTAAATGTTTATATATTACTTTGAATATGTAAATCAATATACAGTGATGATTTGCATTTGTAAGGGAACATCCCCATGTAGTAATATTGAAGACATTAGTGTCATAATAATATATCCATATATATATATATCTTGTACTTAAAAGGTTTTGGATTTTTTTTAACTTTGGATATTTTTTCTGCTTTTTAAATAAGAGTCATTACAGTTGCTTAGTGAGAAATGGTCATTACATTCATTTAATGATTCTGAATTTGTTTGAAGCTTTAGGTACTTTCCCATGTTTATCAATATACTATGTATCATAAAGGACAAATAAATCACTTTAGCATGCAAAAGAAATAAAATATTCTCCATTTGTGTAGAATCTTGCTATGGGCATATCTTTTAAGATTCAGTGGCTCTATCTATAGCTTATCTGAACTGACCTCTTCCTATGCACGAGCCTTTGTAGAGTGTATCTTCTAATTCAAGAATAAGATGTTGAATTCAATGGTGTTCACTTACATAGTGACAGAGTAAGTCACTATGTCCCTCCACTGCAGGAATTACTAGTATAATTGAACAGTATGTGTTATGCAGGAGGATCATAATGGATTTTTCTTGCTTTAACTTTTATGAGCCTATCAAAACTATTGAGTCTTTAAACTTTGTAATGAAAATGTCATGAGACAAAGACTTCCTTGTTAAATTTCAAGTACAACCTATCTCCAGCCAGAGCAAAAATGCCAGGAAAATAATACAGTCAATCCCTGCTTAACGCTGTTTTGCTTAGTGCTATTTTGCTATAATGCTCATTTTAAATAGGTACCTGCTTTCACTTAGCACTCAGTGAGTTTCGCTATAATGCTTGCAGTCACAATCTTGGGTCATTAAAAACAATTGCGGTCACCATCTTGGGTCTTCAAATACTTTTGGTTTTGCTTAACTCTCATTTCACTTATCACTTGGCTTTCCAGGAACCAGTTAAGAGCACTAAGTGGGGGTTGCCTGTATTGGTGATCAGTATTTTGCTACTTCTCTTTCTAAAATTTGGGGGCACTGGGAAATTCAAAGCCATATAAGAAAAGTAACGGAATAAAAAATTATCTGAATGCACTGACAGGGGTGTCAAAGATCTTTCCTGTGTTTGACCATAGAATACAATGCAGTTCCTTTCTTAGTTAGGAACATTACTTAATCTGAGCAAATTATTGCTGTCCTGACCTGATGTGTTCAAGTAAGGCCATGGATAAGCAATACATTTGTGCTGGGGAAAAATGCCTTTTTCCTGGCACAAAAAAGCATACACACAGCATTCAAGCAGTTTGTAGTAGAAAAACCCTAGTGAGTTCACCACAAACTGTTCGCTCTTTAAATAACAGCTTCAGTTTTCTAGCACCACGTATAATGCCTGTTCAGTTATATGTGGCCCAGTCGGGGCCTCTTGGACCGCTTGTATCCCATAGTCTTCCACTCTACCTCCTCCCAACCCAAAGCAGAGGGAGAGTGGCTAGCTCCCTTATAGCCTACCCAGCGGTGCACAGCCTATAGTTGCTCTTTTGCAGTAGCTGCTTTAGCAGCACTAGGACTCGACCCATTAGAAGTTATCCATAAGTGATCTAACTAGACAAGATTGTTCACTGATATATTCAGTAGGCTTGAATCTAAAACCAATCTTTCTTTCATTTAGGGGTGCTACATCCATTGTCTACAGATGCAGGCAGAAAGGAACCCAGAAGCCCTATGCTGTCAAAATGTTGAAGAAAACTGTAAGTTTGTATTTTGTACTTGTTTTTTGACAAACTAAATTAGTTCTTCAATGATTGTGGGAGGCGTCAGTTAATCAAAATCAGGGGGCAGGGGGGCAGTGAGTTGCAGCTGAGTGAAATGTTTTGGAATTTTTTTTTCTGAAAAATGCAAATTTAGATCAATCAAAATATTTTAGGAATTTGTGTCAATTTTTGACAAATTGTTCTGTAAAGAAAAAACCTTCGTGTGTGCCATCTCTTTCAGAAATCTTTTAATTTCAGTATTTTGAGATAAAGTGTTTTGATTTTTCTTTTAGGGATTTACTCCTGTTTTACTAAAAAAAAAACTTTTAAAGAAGTTCAACTGAAACTAAACAGTTCATCTGCCCTGCTTTTTTTTTTAAGGACAGCAAATGAACTAAAAAGACAATTATTCACATAGCTCTGCCTGGAATACTTCTATGAGGTGCCTGTAAGCCTGTTGTGAAGTGGATCATGAAAAATATGGGCAGAGCTTACAAAAGGGAGACTAGTAGGAGCTCAAAGAAAGGAAGAAAATGGTGTGAGGCCAAGAGGAGGACAAAGAAATTCTTGACTGGAGAAACAGAAAAAGCTGAAGGAAGACTGGCTGATAAGAGTGCATGGGCATGAGCACTATTTATTAATTACTTTTATTAATATTCTTCCATAAAGTTCATGAGTGTATGTGTAGCAGCTGCATGGGTGTAAAGATGTCTAAATTAAGTGATGTATCAGTGCAAAATATAATGGACAGGTCCACAACCCATAAAAAGTTGGCACTAACTTACCATATCTGAAAATGAGTGAGAGATTAAGCTGGCATAGATATCTAACTAGTGGTGCTTCTTCTAAATGTATTTGGCATATTGGCAGGGAACTAAAGGTAGTATGTGAAGAGCTAGCATTGCTTCTGCCTGTGCTGTAGAAAAGAGAAAACTTTGGTTTTGATTTCTAACAATGCAATTCCTTACACTCAAACAGTCCCTTAACATTTTTAAAATAAATAATTCCTTATTTAAGTTGTATATGATTTTTACTTTGAAATTCATGAAGAAAAATTGTATGATTTTTTTAGTATCATTTTGTCAAGAGGCAGGTTAATATTATGTACCATCTACTTGTGACTACTAGTAGGCTCAGATTTGCATATTGTACCAGGTACTCAGTGTTGAATTATTTTTAAAGGTAAAATTTGAGGAAGAAATAACAAAAGGGTGAATTGAAGAGTATGATTACATAAATCTGTGCACGGCAGTGATGGCTAGATTACAGTGCAGCCTTGATTATCTGAATATTATGGTTAGCACTTAAGTCAAGCTTATGTAACTGAGGGAATTTTCAATGTTATTAATAGAGTTTAAAGACACGATTCTGTAACTAAGAACAGGTGGTGAATGTTTAGCATCTCCAGTAATATAATCTGATGACTGTACCTAGGGTTGGGAGCCAGGTGATCCTCAGTTCCATTCCTGGCTCTTCTACTGGTTCCTGTATTCCATGGATCTATTTGCTTAGGACCACATCCATCTTAGTTTTGTAGGCACCTCCAGCTTAGGCTTCAGCATACCTAAAAATAAGTGCCTTACCCCAGGAGGTTAGGCAGCTAGGGTGTCTGTACAATGAATGAGTATAGTAGGCCCTTCAAAAAGCAATTCATAGCCCTTTAGCAGTAAGCAAGGACATACTTAGAACTTCCTAATAGAAAACAGGGGTGTTTATGAAGTATTCCTCATCTTGAAGCTTAGGCACTCAATTCGGGGATGCAGATTAGGGCTAGGGACAGACATTACACATACACCAGTTTAAGTGATCAGAAACTGGTTTAAACCTGTAACAGAACCGATGTTCAGTGCACATAAACCAGTATGAAAATAGCTGAAACCGGTTTGAAATAAACCTGCTTCAGTATAGTATCAGACTTAACTGATTTGGGTCAAACTGCTTTATGCAATGTCTGTCCCAGACCCCTTGCTGGTTTAAGTTAAACCAGACTTCCCCAGCATCCTGGCATGCTCTCTGGGCTGGGCAGGGCTTTCTGCTCCAGAGACCTGGGCTGGCCCCTCCCCCCTGCTCCCTGGCTGGAGCTCTGGCAGAGACTGCAGGCTGCTTCCTCTATCTCCCTCACCACTCCCTGCTAAGCAGGGATCCCTTGTCCCCTCTGCTTTACAGACACCTCTTAGCATTAGCTAGCAGACCACATACTTGCTACTGTCCATGCTGTGGCAGATGGGACAAAGGCAGAATCAACAGGTAGTTGGTAATGTCTCTCTGTTGTTGTCTTAATGATGGGATAAACACTGAGTTAGGAGTGATAAACATTGTGTTATCAATTCCTTGCTGGGCTGGTCAGAAGGGGAGTTGAACCCCTCCATAATCTGAGTGTCCTGTCCTGGCCACACACCCTCAGCTCAGCATTATGGAAGGAAAGGGAGGGGTGCTGTAACGCCCTCCCTGGCTTCTAGCCTGAGCCCCTGGAGGCATGTGCCTCCATGTCTGGGATGTCTGTGCAGCTACAAACTGATTTAGCCTAGACAGGTTAAACTAACCTGCAAAGATTGAATCAATTCAGGCTGAGGCTTTTTGAATGTCTGTCCCTGGCCCTGATGCCTATCTCCATTCAGGATACAAAGCCATTTCCTCATCCTATGAGGGATGGTGCATAAGGTTTCTTTAGCGGGTCTGGCTCTTCTGCTCTGGATCATACTGATTACCAAATTTGGGGGCAGGAAGACATTTTTCTCTTGGGTCAGATTGGCACAGACTGGGGGGATGAGTGGGTGTTTTCCTGGGTAAACAGTTATTTTTTTGGGATCTTATGAGCATATTCAACTACTGCACTGCTCTCATTACAGTGACAAGACATTGGCAGTGCCCTCATCTGCCCTGTTTTTAATTATACTGTGTTAGAGTGATGTTGGGGTACTTAGTGTTGTGCATGGTGGTTGTGTATGAGGGCTTGAAGTGACAGTTTAGGAGATTCCTGCCATAAATGATTGCCTTAAAATGTAAGAGACTGGAATTGAGGGGCAAAGAAACCTTACCAGCCCTATGTTCCTATGTTTCTAACTGCATCCAAGGATACAAAAATAATAGGACCAGAAGGAGAGCAAGCAGTAGGGAAATGTGTCTATAGCCAGTGACAAAGGGTTCCTGAGTTATAGTCTCAGCTGCCAGGATTGATTATATGTTTTATATTAGACAGTCATTGGCCAAGAAACAGAGAAATAACCCCAATAGCAAGGCGCATAACTCCCTCCTCCTAGGATTACACTTCCTCTTGCTTGCTTTCCTTCTGGCCCTGTTACTGTTATATTCCTTTATGCCAAGAGTATCAAACATATGGTGTGCAGGCCAGATCGAGCTCACAAAGCTATTCCCTGTAGCCCACAGAGCTCCTGGAAGACTAGGACATTCAAAAGCGTGGCTAGCAGGAGGCAGAGTCTTCTGCATCATCCAGGGCTTCGGGGCTCCACTGGGCATACTCGTTGGCAGCAGGGAGTTGAACATGGCCTGTGCCAACACAACCCCAATCACCCTGTGACCACTTGGCCTATCACCATTTGCTCCACTACCACTTGGCCCACTGCTTGTATCATTGGCTTTGTTGCTGGCCCCTCCACTCTTGCTACCATCAAATGCCCTATCTCTGTCTAAAACTAGCAAAAATTAAGATTTTCACACAGCATGTAATTAAAGTGTGGAACTCATTGCCACCAGATGTTGTAGAAGCTGATGGTTTAACCCTCCTGGGAATGTAGGCAAAGTTTGGTGCTTCCCTAACTCTACCCTGGATCACAGTACAGCTAAAGGGGAAATCAGGCACCAATTGCCTGAACTAGGACCTCTCAGTGTATTTATGGAAGTTTTATTTTACATACCTATAGGGGTTTTGTAGCTGTATCGATTTACAGAGGGGTTTTTTTGCGATTTAGATGATAAAATTCTTCTTAACTCCCTTTTGGGCTCTTAGCTTGCCAGTCTGGATCTGAGCCATAACCTTTTTCTCTAACTTCTGCCATCTGTCAAATGGGGTGATGCTATTTATTCACTTAACTTCCAGGACTGTTTGAAGGAATAACCTGTTAATGTCTCCACAGTTCATTCAACTAAACTTATAATAACCTTAAATAATGCTAACTATTCTGAAAATCTTGGGACACCTACATAGAGTTCTCAAGTAGGCTGCCCAATCAATGAGGCATCCAAGTATAGTAGATACTTGAAAAATGTTGATCTTAATTATAGGTTCCCCAACTATGAACATGTTTCCTGCTATAGAAGGATGTTGTGAAGATCATAGAAAATTAGGGTTGGAAGAGATCTCAGGGGGTCATCTATTCCAAACCCCTGCTCAAAGCAGAACCTTACCCAACCACATCATCCCAGCCAGGGCTTTGTCAAGCTAGGCCTAAAAACCTCCAAGGATGGAGATTCTACCACCTCTGGCCACCTCCCTGTCTCCCCTCTCTCCCAGTGGCACAGGGACCCCAGCCAGGGTCTGCCTGGCTTTCTCCACTGATGACCACTTGCACAGCAGGGAGCATGGCCAGAGCTGGCCTGGGCAGTGCCAGGCTGCTGGCTGGGCTGGCTTTGGCTACCCCCCCCTGCCATGAGAGCGGCCAGCAGAGGGGAAAGCCAGGCAGTCCTGGGCTGGGGTCTTATGTAGGTGGGAGAAGGGAGGCAGGAGGGTTTAATCCATCTGCCTCCCCCTGAGCCTGCTGCCCCCACAC